AAAGAATAAAGAAGCTGTAAAGCACGTCTCATTTATTTAAATGTTCAAGTAATAAAAACATTATATTTAAATTATTCTGAAAAAAATTATATTCATATATTAAATATTTAAAGTTTTTTAAAAATATATGTACAGGGGGTTTATTACACTTTATTTGAATGATATGTATGCGCTAAAGCAGTGGCTCGTCGTTGCAGTTGCTAATCGTGGTGCCACAGACAGCATTTGTTACATCTACACATTTAGATCATGGCGAAGTCTGAACTATTCCATAGCGCAACGCCATGTAGACTTAGGACGTGAGAAATATATATGAAAAAACAGTAGGAAAAAGAATCGTATAGAAAGATTGCTAGAACAGATCTTGGATGCTTTCTGTGGAAGCAGAAAAACTCGAACAATACCCCAACAAATCTGGAGCAAACTGTCATTGGCTAAGTGAAGGAATAATTATGAAAGGGGACATGCCCTCCAAAATTATTGAAGTAATGCTGAGTACCGTTAGCAAGATAGTAAACAAGGGGTTGAAGCTGACGAAGGCTCTCAATCTAAAAGTTCACAAGTTTTTCTGATGCAATTCCAATGGACTTTTGTGCCTTTGGTTGCCTAAATGTAGAGTACAGAAGTCCACGTCAAACGGAGTGTCTGTGGAAAGTTTGTTCAGATGCGTGGTTTAAGATCGACTTGCTGTCCTTCGCAGAAACTTGTTACAATGGAAAGTGCGGTGTTGGTCAATAGTTTCAATCGTGGCTATCCGAATAAGTACGATCAACGATGGCCCGGCATGGCCAGGTGGATAAGGCGCTTGACTCACAATCTGAGGCCGCGGGTTCAAATCCGCATACCACCAAACATGCTCGCCCTTTCAGCCGTGGGGGCATTATAATATGACGGTCAATCCCACTATTCGTTGGTAAAAGAGTAGCCCAAGAGTTGGCGGTGGGTGGTGATGACTAGCTGCCTTCCCTCTAGTCTTACACTGCTAAATTAGGGACGGCTAGTGCAGATAGCCCTCGTGTAGCTTTGCGCAAATTAAAAAAAACAAAACAACGTGTAACTTTGCGCGAAATTCAAAAAAAAAACAAACAACTTAGAAACGAAGTTACTACCTCTATCAGTTAATAGATATTGGGGTATACCGTGTCTATAATGCTATAAGTGTATAGTACGGCGAACCAGTTTTGATTTCAGACTTAAAGGAATTGAATATGATGATTTTTTAGCCGCACCTCAAAAGAAGGTGTGAAAAAAGCTGTTTTCAATTATATTTGATTTTAAAGGTGGTTATTTAGGTATTGCAAAACCGTAATCCTTTCTTTTGCCATCACAAAACCGTAATCCTTTCTTTTGCCATCAGTGTACATTTTATACATCCGTTCATCAAGGCTTACCTTACTCTATTTTGTTAGTTTATTTATTTATCTACAATTAATTATTATTATTATTGTATATTTTTTGCTTATCATTCGCAATAACTGGCAAATCAGAAAGGTGATCTTATCATTCCCAGAGAAAGCCAAGCAACCCCAACGTCAATAGAAGAAGACAACATTAGTAATCATAATAAGTTACGAGAGAAAATAATGAACTACGTATAATTATAATTATTATAGATAATGCTACATTCTTTAACTAGTTGAATACAGTTTGTAAGTCTTCTTTGTGGGTACAAAGTTGTATAGCACGATTAACGTAGGTGAAGTGGGATATATTTTTTATGAGAGGTGGTGACTAAATCTTATGTGTGGGCCATGTTGACAGCATGGGTTTTTCTGTATATACTGGTGATCACTTTATTGTTTTCTCTTTCCTTAACTGGCCCGGCATGGCCAGGTGGTTAGGGTGCTCGACTCGCAATCTGAGGGTCGCTGGTTCAAATCCCCGTCCCACCAATAAATGCTCGCCATTTCAGCCGTGGGGGCTTTGGTTAAAAGTGTAGCCCAAGAGTTGGCGGTGGGTGGTGATGACTACCTGCCTTCCCTCTAGTCTTACACTGCTAAATTAGAGACGGCTAGCGCAGACAGCCATCGTGTAGCTTTGTGCGAAATTCAAAAAACAAACAAACAATACTTTACCAGATCGCGGTGTTGCAAATTGGTGATTCAACTGAGTCTGCGGAACTGATTGGCTGTAATGTGAGATTCGTATTCTGTCTGGGTGTAGTCTATTCCAGTTGGCAGATTATTTTGTATTTCATCAGAAGATGGAAGTAACTCATGCTCACTTAAAATATATTCAAATTGACTTTGATTGGGCTGTAACTCTTCTAAAGAAAACTTATCTGTTACATTGCAAGACGATCCTGAACAAGATTTATTTCGTCTTCAGTATTTGTGACTTAGGATCGCTGTCTACGTTTTGATCCTTTTTAACTAGCTTTGGTTTGGTAAGAACCTGGTCAGATGTACCGAATATAAGATATATATTAGTTTTCTGATACCTAGGCTTTTCTGGTGGTTCTGTATAACTCTGGCTTCAAATATTAGGCTCATTTGGTCTTTCCTTGCTCTGACAAGTAAATAGTTCAGGATTTGTATTTACTAGTTCTACATGATTAAGTTATTGGTCACTTTTATCAGATGTATATTCCAAGTATATATTGGGTTTTCGATTAAATGAAACGCGGAATTTGTTATCTTGTTCACTATGTAAGTATTGAAAACTATTCTTAACTGATGAGGATTTTTCACTATCTCTAAAACTATTACACCGGTCTTTTAAATGTTTTTGATGTAATGAGGTTTTTGTATAACAACCAGAATGGGAATACTGCTGTAACGGTTGTTCTCTA